GAAGGGAGTGTTCAGAGAGCCCAGAATATTTGTAAACATTAATTTATTCTCAAATTGAATTAATTCTCAAATTTGTTTGCATCCCCTGTGTCTAAGTACCACTCTCTCTTTTATTAGTGATAATTATTAGTAGTACATCTTATCTTTATTCCATTGCTTGCTTTAAAATAAGCCTTGTGGAAGTGATGTTCTTGTTTATTCCATGACTTCTTCACCTGAAAATATCCTTCAACAGCACTTCTCAAGTAATGGTATGGTTGTATCTTATTTGTGAAAATTACCGTTTAATTCTATTTTTATAGATGATTTTTATAATCATCTCACTTTTTAAAATATTGAGCAAATATTTGTTAAGTGCCTCCTAAGTGCCATATTCTATTTTTCCTTTCTCATGCTTGGCTTATAATAATGAGTGGACTGTTACTGTAGCCATCTCTATTTTAATGAGCTACAAAGTTAGAGAAGATTTCTATTAGCTATTTAAAACTCTTGTGTGTCTTTTTTCTTCCGTCACCCTTGTGTTTAACTATTATTGTTTTTCTAAAAGACAGCTAACCATAAACCAATTTAAATGCAACTTACTAAAATATTATCCTCAGAGTAAACATTGCTATTTTGAGATCTTTTGCTCCTCAATAAATTCGAAGATATTAGCTTAATGTACCTTTATACACAACATTGCGAGAACGGATTGTGCTTGCTCTCCAGAGGCCAATTTTCTTTCCTTAGTTTAATAAAAATCTGGTCTTTATTCAATCTAATTACTTTTTATTGCATCTGGAATCATTTTAAATTACTATTGAAACATTAATAACTCCAACTTAAAAAAAAAACTTTAAAATCACAGAGTTAAAAGAAGACTAGAGTTTAGCACATATTTCTTTGAGTAGCCCCTTTATTGACACAGGCTTTAATTGATGGACTGCTTTAGTTTGTAAGAGAGTAAGAAGTGAGAACAATTGGTGCTAACATAAATGTCAGCAATTAGCTGAACATTCTAATTAATTCCTCAAGCATTGCTGATAACTGTTATGTACTGGAAAGACATCCCTTTATTAAACTGTAGGCTAAGGAAATGTTACTAAGATGTGTTTTCTTCTCCTCAGTATTGTTGAAATTGTTGAGTCTATTTCAACTTTTATGAGTTTATGTTTCAAAGCTGTTATTGAGAGGAACAAATCATAATAGAATTGAAATTGTAACAAATAAAATATTCTCTTAGGGTCGTTGCTTATTTGTGTGGAGAATAAATATCTTTTGATCCAAGATGCTCCTAAATACAAAGCAATGATTTTAATCAAATATTTTCTGAAAAAGAATCATTATATTGTCTTTACGAGTCAATTCACATGCTACTTGTGACAATAGCTATCTGATCATTTACTTAGTTGAAGTTTATAATATTGTAAGATACCTTGAAAAACAAGCTTTTTACTTGTTGTATGAAGTACTAATCAGAAGATAGTGGGTTATTTTCTTTTTTTTTTTTTTTTTTTTTGTGAGGTATGCGGGCCTCTCACTGTTGTGGCCTCTCCCGTTGCAGAGCACAGGCTCCGGACGCGCAGGCTCAGCGGCCATGGCTCATGGGCCCAGATGCTCCGGCAGCATGTGGGATCTTCCCGGACCGGGGCACGAACCCGTGTCCCCTGCATCGGCAGGCGGACTCTCAACCACTGTGCCACCAGGGAAGCCCAGTGGGTTATTTTCTACTCTTATATAATAAGGGACTTACATATAAGCCAACCCATTTTTTAAAAGTTGAATGTAATTTTACATATGTTGCTAGCCTTGCAATCCTTTGATATATAAGACAAAGGACCAATAATAAGAATAGAACAAAGCCACTTTTGTCCTTTAAGCTCCTCTTTCTCATAGCCTACTCCACTGAAACCCATGATTCCCATTGGTATTTATCCTCATTTGTTGTCCTTTTTGGGAATCATCTGATTTACGCTTGTTCTCTCAAACCTATGGTTTTTATTTCTAACACAAAAGTCTTTTGAGAAATCTAATTTGGCAAATGGTATGCTATCAGAATTCAAGTGTTATAGAACAATTTCATTTGCCTTTTTAAAATTGGAATTCAGCTTGAATTTCCTGTTCTTAATCTGCTATGAAGCACTCTAATTATTAGGGTAATGGCTGAATTTCCTTTCTACTGACAATGATACAAGAGTTCCTTTTTCCATTTTGGTTCTGGGAGGTGTCCTGTTGTTGCCCATTAAATATATGACAGCTGAGGTGTGAAATTCACTATGTTGCTGTAAAAAATCTGTGTGAACACGTCTCTTTCTCTTCCTCACTTACCCCCTTCTGTATTGCCAGGATATTAACAGTGAATTTAAGTGATATTCATTAAACTCTGTTCTTATTTGTTTAAAACCCTAAAAAAAATTTAGCAGACTAGAGCATAAAGTATATCCTACAGTAAATTTATGAGACCCAGGGATACAAAAAATGGATGTGTGACTATATATCATTATATTGCATAAGAAACATTTTCTTCATACTAAAGTTGATAATCACCAATACATGTCACAATATATTTTCACTTTCCTTTAACATCCCTCAAGGCTTTATTTTAGATACATTTCAATTTGAAGGTTAGTGAAGATAAAAGAATAATGTTGGATTCTTTATAAAGTGTAGTGCTAAGGCTATAGCAAACAGTAGATCACCAGACAGGCACCAGGCCCATGAGAGCCGGTATGAGGCTGGGAGCTTGGAACAGAGGTCAGGAATGGCAATAGGCCAGAGCTCCAGGGAATAAATTGAAGAAACCAATCACTGTTTAGTCAAGTTAGAGGGAGAAGCCTTTCAACCTAGGTGCAAAAAAGGTCAGGTAGTCTAGAAATTGTAAATGTCAATAATCGTACTGCCAACATACTTGCTCAAGCCCTGGTAAATGAGAACTCTGATGCAGAAGTTTCCTGCTACAGTAATAAGTGTAAATCCAACTCAATTTGAAATCCATGATGGATGTAGACCATCTCCCCCTCCGTCCCCTGACTAGTCAATCCCAAGTGTACGTCTCAACATGACTGTACCTTCTGATATACACTCATAAGTGAATTAGGAAGATTCCTTACCTTAGAGTCAGCCTTAGTCTAACCCAACGTTTATTAAAGTGGGTTCTGTAGTTCCAGATTCTCTGCTAAAAAAAAAAAAGAGTTCCATGATCCAATATATTTTGAAGTCCATATACTGTATGTTGCACTTTTAACTGTTAACATTTTTGTTCATTTCATTCATGGATTCATTTATTCAACAAAGATTTATTAAATTCATCCTGTGAGTCAGACATCCCCTAGATGCTGGGGACAGGATGAGGAATAAGGTAGATATGGTCTACACTCTGAAATCTTAACAGTCTGAGTAGAACGACAGATAGTAAAAATAAGCAACTACGATATAGTGTGGTAAGGACTGAAATAGGGGTGACCCAGGACTCAAAGGGAACATACAGCAAAGCCACCTAATTGGTCTAAAAAGGGTCCACAGGGGCTTTCTAAGAAGTATCATCTGTGCTAAAAACCTGAAGGTCAAGTAGAAGTTACACAGGAAAGGAACTTTTAGTCACAGCAGCAGCAGTAATGATCACAACAAATAGATAAAGCTGGCATGTCATTTTACTCTTTCTATCTGCCATATATTGTGCTAGATACTTTCCCAAGCGTTCTATCAGTGATATTTCTGGGTAGGTTTTATTATTTACTCAAAATCATCTAGTTAATAAGTGGCAAGAACTAGAATTTGAATCCCGTATGGTCTGACTCCAAAGGGTTTTTTCCGCTCCTCCACAAACTGCCTTTCAATGCAATTAACTGATTTTGATTAAATTTGTTTTGCTAAGGCAAAAAATGACTTGAGTGATATCTTAAGTTTGCTTTATCAGTGATTGTCATGTAGTATTTATTAGGTTTTTTTTAATAGAATCACATTTTATATTTTAATAATTGTGATAAAGTTTAGCATTTGGGTAGAAGTCTCAGAAGTATATTATGGCACTGGGGTCTGAAGTTCACATTCCAGATAGTATCTTACACAGAGAAGGTACTCAAAACAACACGGTGGTAACTTCACATTGTACGTTGAATAAGTGGTAGCGTAGTTTGAAAAGATAAGTTTGAACTCTTGTAAAGAAAGATGCTACTCACATTTTGGAAGTAATTTAATTCTCTGTATGACATGATCAGGATAGCCATAGGATTTTTTATTTTTTAGATAGAGTATATGCAGAAGGTGAAGATATGAAATCGATCTCCTTAAAACATGTCTGCACCTACCTATAACCAACAGCCTATATACACACATTTTTGGCAAGAATATTCATAGGTGATGTGAACTTCATATCTCATCATGTGTGGAGGTGCATAACATCAAGATAACTCACTATTAGTACTTTTGAAAATCCTGATCTAAAGGAGAGTCAGATAAATAGTAGTAGGTAGAATTAAGAAAGTAAAATGGATTGCCCTAATCCTAGAAGAAATGTTCAGAATCCCATGGTTCCTGGAGTGAGGTGAGACAGTCTTGCTTTTGCACCTAGTGATGGCAGATTGGGCCAGAAAGTGTAATTCACAGACCTGCTATAATTGGCCACGCCAGCATGCCAGTCATCACCAAACTCACCATCAAAATTATTTTTAACGAATCTAAATATTGTATATAAAATACAAATATAGTTTTTGAAATTTCTCCTTTTCACCTTAAGGAAGTTATTTTGAGGAGTGAAATGGTCACAAGGGAAATTACTGGAAGAAAAAAGAGAAGTAAAAAACCTGGATAATCTGTAAACTTGGATTAATTCCCAAACCGTTGTAATTTATATTGACATCAACAAAATACTATTGCTGACTGGAATTTCATTTGCTTTTTTATTCATCTTAGGGAAAGCTGGATGGGGGTGAAAAAAGAAATGCTCTTGTGTTATATTTTATTCGTGATCAAATGTCAGTTTATTTCCTTACTTACTATAAAATGTGTTGGTTTAACTTTAGGGACACCACGGTCCAGACCCTTACTCTTCAGCCTTCTGTTAAAGATGGACTTATTGTGTATGAAGACTCACCTTTGGTTAGTAATACAATTATATGAATATTCTCAAATGTATTTTTTTGAATGATAATTATATTTCAGCCTTCGAGGGTGAGAAATCTCCCATTGGTTCCAATATGTTTCAGCCTTAACTGGAAAACACTCATTCATATGTCATTAGGAGAATGGATATTTGAATGCAAATTACTGGGAAAATAACATGTTTTCTTATTCTGTTCTTCTCTCTCCAGAGTGAGAGATTTTGATATCCTCTAATGATTACTTTTCTATTCCAGAATTTTGAAAAAAGAAAGAAGTTTGCTGTTTTCAGATGTACAGACTTCGAAATTAGATAATGCTTCTAGAATGTTTTAAAAAATGATTTTAATTAATAAAATATTCACCCAATGTTTTAGGCAGCTGAGAAGATCATTCCTCAGCGTCTCACATAAGATGCAAAGAAATCTGGCCTGCCAGGCACACCTCTCTGTGTAGATAACTCCTCGGCAGCAATGGCACAAATAAGCCACCATGAGAACCTCTGTGGTCCAGACCCCAGCGATGGGAGTCTTTAGGACCTCCTGCCTGAATTCAATCAGATTGGACCTGCCTTTTCTGTGAACAAAGATGTGAAGGCTGGAGTTAGGAGTAGAAGCTACACGTCTTCTCTCTCTCTTTTTTTAAATTCAGCTTATTTTTACGCTAAAATTAAAAAGAAAAATCCTTATTCATTTTTTAGAATATGTAATAACATATTTGTGGTAGAGAGAATCATCTGTGTCTTGATCTATATTTCCTTAAAATTATTTGCCAAAATTATGTAATGATAAAAGTTTATGATATGGTCCATTTTATATTTCTTACTATGTAAAAAAATAATCTTTGGGTTTACATTGAAATTCATTGACTATCACCTCCTATGCTCTCTTTATTTATTTATTTATTTTTAATTTTTGGCCATGCCGCTCGGCTTGCAGGATCTCAGTTCCGTGACCAGGGATTTAACCCGGGCCATGGCAATGAAAGTACCAGGTCCTAATCACGAGGCCACCGGGAAACTCCCTCCTATCCACTCTCTAAAAATGTTTTTAAGGATTTTTCCGAACTTTTACCTTTCTTCTAATAATGTCACCACTTAGTCATCTAAGACCTGGAACTCTTTCTTATTTTTCCTTTCACTTCTTCCCATCTAGTCAGTAGCCAAGGCTATAGATGATCCCTCTGGAAAACTCTTCAGATCAATATGATGCTTTTTATTTCCATTTTTCTCCCATGCCTCCTTCCCTAAAATCAGGTCCTCACACCACTTTTTTACCAAATTGTTATGGTACTCCCCTTTTAGTCTATTCCGCATATTTCTACAGGATCAAATGTACTAACGTGTAGCTCCAAACTCCATTGTTATCATGTCTGAACTCATAAATCTTTAATTATATCCTATTATTTAGTGAGATAAAGCGCGTATTTTTTGGTCTGGCAGGCAACTTTTTAGTAGTAGAGGCCCAATCTACCCTTTCAGATCCTATTCTCTCTTTTCTTACATTTAACGTCTGCTTCAGCCAAGATAGGTATTCATATTCACTCTTCCCTCAGTGGGCTGCAGGATTTCTTGAGTTTGACCATTGATTTTCTTTGTCTTGACTACCCATCTCCTCACATACATACTGATCTCTTAAAATCATACACTCTTTTAGAGCCATCACAAGTGCAATGTTCTGATATCCAGTATTGATTGTGATGTCTCACTCCTCTTAACCCCCATGGCACTTTAATTTCCCTATTCGTTATACTTGTTTTAATACTCCCCTACCCTGGGGTGTGAAATGTTGTGAATTCCGCCAGCATAGGGATAATTATGAAGCTGAAGGAAAGTAAAGTGCTTACTGCAGACTTAGCCGTTTAGTAACTCTGAGAAGCTTTTGGTAGCGATCCATAAATTTTGTTTCCGGCTCTGCTACAGACAGTTTTGTGATAGTGTATTTATAACTTACATAAAACCACCTATTATAAATCCAAATCAATGAGTGATGACATTTTTAAAACGTTTGCTTTCATTTTTTTGTTTATGGTAAATGTTCTGTCTTCAAAGGTTAAAGCAGTAAAATTGGGTCATGTTCTGGTAGTAGATGAAGCAGACAAAGCCCCAACAAATGTCACCTGTATTTTAAAAACTCTAGTAGAAAATGGAGAAATGATTCTAGCAGATGGAAGGCGCATTGTTGCAAGTGAGTATAAAAAAGCAACTTTTCTTTCAGTCTATGCAGTTTTTACATCTCTGGTATCAAATCACACACTTGGCTGGCTGTTTATCTGCAAACAAGCACAAGTTAATATAAGTCAAGTTGTCTGTATTGACAGTTATTTGTAAAATTCAATATGTCTGAATCTAGCTTTGTCAGTTTCACTTTCGTATAGCCAGAGAGCATCTTTAAGCATTTCAGTCGTAGTTTTAGGACAAATCGGCTTCATAGTTTTTCTACTCTGAGAATACAAACATATAATCCTTTGTATACTCATCTCAATTATTTGTGTGCAATTTATTTTCTTTCATTGTTATCTGGAATTTTTAAAGCTCTATCACATTTCTGTTACCCATATTAAAATTAATGTTATTAGCTCAGTATAATTAGAAAAAAATTGCTGGGCATTTTATATCTATCGTATATATGTATGAATATATCGGTGTGTATACATATATTACACACACATACCAGCTTCAGGAAGAAGTTAGTTATTCTCTGTTTTGGAGTATCTTCCTCCTTTTATTTTATTTTTGTTGTTGTTGTTAGGGGAGATGTACATAGATAAATCTCATAAGTCTGTTTAAGCTACAAGGAAAAATTGTCTAATGCAATGTGAGAACATTTTCTGGTTTCTAATACAAAATTTTTGTGTCATGAAAAGACTTGAAGATCTATAACTAGCCATTAAAAGTATACAGTCAATAGTAAGGAACCAAACAAGTTGAGACTAATAACTGAAATCTTCAATATTCAAAGAGAGTATAAACAGAAGACTCCATAAAAGTGTACAAGTGCATCACCACAGAGACTTCTTCTTGGACACTGTCATTGCAAGACTGCTGTTTCTAAGCCTAGGAAACTCAGCACTAATAAAAGTATTCTAACATTTCAGTGTCACAATGAATTTATGGGAAAAAATGAGAATTTGACTTAAACAGCCTGATTACTATCTTTTAGAAAGATCATTCAGACTCTTAAGATTAGAATGCTTCCTGCCCTTTTTAAAGGCATTATGAGGACAGTGAAATGGAAAGCAAGAAAGAATTGCTGAAACAAACTTATAGTTAAACAGTGACTATCTCCTGGTAACCCTTTACATTTTTTTAATATATTTTTGAAGGATAGTCTAGAAGTAAAGGAGTCATCATAATTCTTAAATTCAGGTTTGATTGTAGATGACATTTTAAACACAAGAGCAACTGAAGCTCTTTTGAACATGGTTTCATAAAGCATCACTTCTACGGCTATGTTTCTCATTTTCTTTGCCTTTTAAAATGTTCATGTTCTATTGCTATTTTTATTTTAGTTAACTAATTAAGTAAATTTTGTGTGTGACCACATACCCTTGTATTTACCACTACTGAAATTAGTGGAGATCAAACGTTAAAACTAATGGTGGTATTAGCACGTGACTATATGGCACATTGAAAGGTTACTTTTTGGTATCATAAAAAAATACAAGTGTAAGTTCTTACAGACTCATCTCAGATAAAACTCCAGGTGTTTCACAACTATCATTTCTTAAAGATGGACAGCCTAAGGCTAAGATCTAAATAAACCCAGATGACAGGTATTTCTTCTTAAAATAACCATAATAAAGTTTTTACTATCTTAAATTATTGTTTGGTCTAGCAGTTCTATCTGAAATGTACATCAGCAAGTAGTATATAATATTCACTTCCTTTAATACCTTAAACGTTTGCACGAAGAAAGTTCCAGTCAACTTGAAATTATGTATTTTAAGAACTATGGTAGAATCCCTTGAATGGAAATTAATCACCTTTGCTCTAATGAATTGACTAGGTGGTCAAGACCTTTATTCTATGTGGTTAAGTTTCAGGGTGCGTAATCTAAACAGGAATTCCTCCTTAGCTACAGAATGAAGGCTTTATGCAAAGTGATGCAGCTGCTGATTGGATAACAACTAAAGGATGTTTGGATTATCCTTTGTGTATTCTTTGGATTATCTATTGTAATAGATTCTTTTTTTTAAAAGAATAATAGCATCTCAAGCCAAGTTTAAGTACCATAAGACAACATTTAGACAAGTTTGCTTTTTAGACATGCATTTAATTTACATAAAAATGCAAGTTCCCATATAGTTTAGTATACGCTTTATCAGTATTCTGTTGCTAAGCAAACTTTCTCAAAAATGTTTTTGTTTTCTGCAGCCAAATTGTTACAGCCAGATTTCTTAGAGTTGTTTTACCATTGAACAGTAAGACTACTTATGTGATTTTAAAGGCTGTAACTTGATACTCTTAAGAATTATTAAATATCTATAAAGAATAAATAGAAATTATGTTTTTCAGATTCTGCATTAGTCAATGGAAGAGAAAATGTTGTTGTGATCCATCCTGACTTTAGGATGATCGTTCTGGCCAACAGACCTGGATTTCCTTTCCTAGGCAATGATTTCTTCGGCACCTTAGGTAAAAAGAATATTGATAATAATAATAAAAACAATAGCAATAACAGTAAAAATATTGTCTTAGTAACAATACTGTAATGGCTATCACTGAATGCTATCATGTGCTGTCATCATCACAGCCACCTTGTGAGAGTATGTGTTATCCCCATTTTAGAGAAGGAGAGTATCATATTCAGAGAGATTTTTTTTTTTAACATCTTTATTGGGGTATAATTGCTTTACAATGGTGTGTTAGTTTCTGCTTTATAACAAAGTGAATCAGTTATACATATACATATGTTCCCATATGTCTTCCCTCTTGCGTCTCCCTCCCTCCCACCCTCCCTATTCCACCCCTCCAGGCTGTCACAAAGCACCGAGCCAGAACCAATATCCCTGTGCCATGCGGCTGCTTCCCACTAGCTATCTACCTTACTACGTTTGTTAGTGTGTATTTGTCCATGACAGAGAGATTCTTTTTTTAGGGTCACTCAGATAAGTATTAGAATGGCTTCATATCTATGTGTTTTCTTACACAACTAAACTATACTTTGTTATTTAGGGCCTCTTAGAGTAAAACACAAAATAAGGAACGGTTTTTAGTGTTTGGTTTTCATCATATCCCCCTATGAAAAGGTTTGAGGCCAGCTCTGGGGAGACTGATTCTCATTGATTGGAGAGGCCCTGGGATAAACTGAAGCATCAGGAGCCTTTAAGAATAGCTTCGTTTCTCTGTGGCAAGTAGGTAATTCTGGATACTGGGCATTCCATACTCAACCTGAAGCGAGCTCAGTCTCCTAGTAGGATTTTTCTTTTTTTAAACATCTTTGTTGCAGTATAATTGCTTTACAATGGTGTGTTAGTTTCTGCTGTATAACAAAGTGAATCATCTATACATATACATATATCCCCATATCTCCTCCCTCTTGCATCTCCCTCCCACCCTCCCTATCCCACCCCTCTAGGTGGACACAAAGCTACGAGCTGATCTCCCTGTGCTATGCGGCTGCTTCCCACTAGCTATCTGTTTTACATTTGGTAGTGTATGTATGTCCATGGCACTTTTTGATCTAGCAATTCCACATAAGGAATTTAACTAGGGATATTCCCCGTGCAATGGTTAAAGTACAAGGATAGGCAATATAGCATTGTTTATAGTAGCATAAAAAAGGAAAAAGAAGAAAACAACCCACATGTCTATCCAAATAGGACTGAATGAAGAAATTCTGTTATATCCACACAGTAGATTACTGTGCAGCTGTTACAAACAAATGGGATAACTTTGCTCATGCTGATACCAAACAAAATCCTGGAAATATATTAAGTGAAACAATAAGAACGGCGTGTGTAGTAGTCGACCATTTGAATTAATAGAGACTAACAGGCAAGGGGGATATGTTACGTGAATATGCTCGACACGCGTAGAACTTCTCCAGAGGCACACTCGTCTCTTACATCCTCTTACCTCGCTGACCTTGCTTCCTGCTCTGCTCTGTGCTGCTCTCCTCGGCACTCACCCTCTTCCAGCCGCCCTGCTCTCCTGCCTCTTGAACAGGCCAGCTGTGCTCGCCTTAGGGCCTTTCTGTTAGCTTTACCTGCCATGCTGTTCCCGCATATATCTGCATTTGCCCAATTGTCACCTTCTCAGTGAGGCCTACCCGACTGACTTCCCCCACCATCACCATTTCTGATGTCCTATAGTGTGCTTTTCCTTTTTCCCTTGAAACATACAGTTTCTAACATTTGTAATTATTGTTTATTGTCTCCCCATGCCAGAATATAGGCTGCATGAGGACAGGGGTTTTTGTGGTTTTGATCTCTGAGTTATATAAAGTACGTAGAGTATTACTTGGCACATAGAAGGCATTTAATACTTATTTGATGAATGAATGAATAAGGGTTCAAATATAGTTTTATATTAGTGTTACATTTGATTTTCAGCAAAAAAGACAAAAGCTGTTCTTCACATTTGTATTTGAATGGGTTTAGCTTATGAGATAGAAGCATGAAGTTGTCATGGTTGCATTTTATTCAGTTGCTTTCATGAATATATGATAACAATAAAATAATGATTTGAGTGGTTTCTAAGTCAAAGTAAGTTCTAAATATCCTTTCTTTCTAAAATGAACATACCGAATAATGCAAATCTATTTACTTTAACTTCCTTTGGCCCCTTGTCCTTTGGCGTATGAATCACAATTATGTGAACATTTATATGAGAAATTCATTTCTCTAGAGCATAGATTATATTTTCTAGTATGTTCTCAGTTTTCTAAATTATGGATGAAATATTTTGTGTTTCTACATTCCTTTTTCTTGATTTTAATTTAGACATTGTCTCTGCAGGTTTACTTTTCCAAAACCTACTTCTAAAGTATATTCTAGCAATCTGCACAAGATATAAATTGTTTAGAGAGTGATGATACTAATTCCCCCTTTTTTAGTATACATGAAGAGGCATGCATATATGTATATAATTTCTGAAGATATTCATCATGTGTTAAAGTTAAAAATGCAGTCTCAGAACCATATGAGGAGTATTTTCCAATTAATGGAAAAAGAATAAATTATCAAAACTATATATGTTTGTATGTATGCATTTTAAAAAATACTAATATGTATGGAAAAATGAAGACACTGAACTATTAACACTGGGTGCCTATGGGGGAAGGAGTGAGATTAGCAGAAACACGAGAGGACTTCTTTTTTGCTCTTTGTATTTGAATATCTCCCAGTGAAATTGTGTTCAAGTATTATACAATTTTTAACAAAAATAAATCTATGTAGAATAAACCACACATCAGTCAGTGTCATTTTCTTTTGCTTTAGTTATTTGCCTTTTTCTCTATACCTATTTTTGGACAGGCTTTCTGTGCAGTTTTACACACTTAAAAATAGAAGTGCTTTGGTGAGCAACCCATGGCTCTTTTAACGACCATTCTATATTTCCTATGGCATTATAATGGATTAGTTGCATGCTGAATGTGAATCTTTTTTCTCTCGTAGGTGATATTTTTAGCTGCCATGCAGTTGATAATCCCAAACCCCACTCGGAGCTCAAGATGCTCAGGCAGTATGGCCCCAATGTGCCCGAGCCCATCCTTCAGAAGCTCGTGGCTGCCTTTGGAGAGCTGAGGAGTTTAGCTGACCAGGGCATTATTAACTATCCTTATTCTACCAGAGAAGTTGTCAACATAGTCAAGCATTTACAGGTATGGCACACGCCTACGCTAAAAGTCTAAAAGAAGCCGTCAATCTTGTTTTTTTAGACTGCCTAATTTATACAAAGTCTTTCCATTTCTCTATATTCTGATTCAAGTGATATAATATGAAATGTCTATAATCTAAATGAACATTTTCTCTTTAACCTTTGAATTGACTTTGGCAAGGTTCTGTGCCACGGCCATTACCAAGGAGCTAGGAACTTTGGTGGAGGTTTTTTGCCGGGGTTGTGGCGGGGCGGGCGTGGGAAGACAGGGGAGTGAGACAGCAGGGAAACTTTACTACTGTTTGACTTTATACAACAAGCATATGGTATCTGAGTGAAAAATATTTTCATTTTGAAAAAAAAGACTTGGAGATAAAAAACAGACTGGGAACTAACAGTATTGATTACATACCTGTAAATACTGTGAGAAAATTTTATAAGATAGAGTAAGTGGGCAGGAGAATGGAATTCCTTATAGCCATTTGTGATGCATAGCCCACCTCGGTAAAGAAGACAAAAAGCCCATGTAGATTCTACTTTTATAGCAAATAATGGTTTCCAAGCTAACAGTCACAACCTAATGACTCTTGACCTCTGCTCCATCCCCATCTTCCAAGCAAAACATAGAAAGGAAAATAGAAAGCTTTGTTCTGCCTGTAAAACCATGATAAGTCCAGCTCAGACCCCAGCACCTAAAGAAAATCAAGACAGAGGCAATAAAGGACCCAGACGACCCCACCAGTGTGAAGTTAGCTGTTAGTAGTACTTGTTTTCTTCCCTCTGCTCTTCCCTATTTCTCTATTCTCTGTACTTTTCACATTCTTCTTCCCTTCTTTTCTTGTTTATCTTTTTTTTTCATTTAGTCATAGACTTGTAACTTCTCTAAATACTTCTGTATAGATATTCAACACTCTGCTTTATTTAAATAGCATTTTTAAGTTTGGTCAATCCAGTACTCATTTTAAAAGCAGGAGATTTCAGAAAGTGGTGGAAGTCACCAAACACCAGTATCTGAGTACCGATTTAACATTTGAGAGAAAGAACTGTTCCCCCTCAAATTCTGATATTTATTTAAAAAGAAAAATATTAAGTCATCAGAGCAAACCTTCAAAGAGAAAAATATTCCTCCTATCTATAAAATATTCCTCCTATCAGTATTTATTAGTTATCTGACAAGGCTAGTAAAGAAAGGTCTGGTAAAGTTCATTTGATCCTTATTGTTCTGTCAGTTTGGGAAATCTTTATAATACCGTGTATTTTATCACATGGTAATAAGGGAATTTTTTTTTTTTTTTTGAATACAGAAATTTCCCGCTGAAGGTCTCTCCAGTGTGGTTAGGAATGTGTTTGACTTTGATTCCTACAACAACGACATGCGGGAGATTTTGATTAACACTTTACACAAATACGGGATACCTATTGGAGCAAAACCTACTAGTGTGCAGCTGGCAAAGGAGTAAGGCAAACTCACTACTGATAAAGTACTCTTGAGTGTTACTGTTCTGGTTCTCAAATGCTGATTATTCTGAATCTACTATCATACGCTACTAAACTGAGTTGGTGTGGAAATTACTTTCCATGAGTAAGCGCTTCAGATATATGTTGCTATTTGCTGGCTGGATTCAGTTAAATAGCATTATTTATAGGTCTGTAAATTGAGAACTTCAGTTATTTCGAATGTCCCATGAGTAGATGTAATGTAATCAAATAAAGGGAAGTATTTGTTTCTTTACAGCCTCTGTCCTTTTGTTGAATTCCTATGACTCTCATTTTTTCCTAATCTAGTGCAAACTCATTGTACAAACATGAAAGCTACGTGAAGAGATAATATGTATTTAGTTAAGATGTTCTTATTTATGTCACCATATATTTTTCTGTTATGATAGTTTTCTAAATTTATAATCATATTAACTTGAAATTTGGGGGTTACTTATTTCAGCCTGACAGATGAGAGAGGCAGGGAAAACAAGTGAGTTTTGTTTCATGCGGGCTAGTTGCCTGCCTTTTATTTTGTAATAACAGGCTACATGCTTAACAAAGAATCTTGCAAATATGATGTTGTTGACCAGAAAGATAATTGACAGTATTTATTAGTAGGGAAATTAAGTCAGTGCAAATTCACTAGAAAACGGTTTTAAATATGCATAACTTATTGATAATGCATCTAATGCTGTTTTTGTCTATAAGAAAGTCAATTATCATAAATTCCCAAGGGACAAAAATTACCTTTAAGTTATTATATAACTGTCATCTCATATAGGAGGAACTCTCTACCTTTCTTAGGAAAAATTTGTTAAATATAAATTAATGATTAATCCAGATATATATGTATATGTGTGTATATATATACACACATATACATATATATTCTAAGTGTTTACATCATCATTATTTATTCTGTTAAGTTATTATAAAACTTGTTAGAATATATGCCAATAAAAATAGTTAAAGCTTTAACAATTTCTTCAAGGATGTCTTAAAGAGAAACAAATATTTCCCTTTAGTGGTAAAAGAGCAAGATGGAGTTATGTTAGAAATTATCAGTGAATTGGTTTATATTATTAATAAGTTAGTAAATTTTCTTTTAGAGAAGAGTGATTTGGTGTCAGTTGCTAATATATACACTTTTCTGTGAAATACTATTTTGCTGATTGATTACCAGTATTTATGGGCATTTTGAAACTAGTTTGGTAATTTAATGGGTATGGCTTATCTTCTATATTAGAGAGTTCAAGAAATGTCTTTGATATGCAAACTTCTATTAGTACTCATGTTTTTTACTTCCTTTTTATAAATTATATCTTTAGTTTCAATTGGAAATAAGATGATTTTTATTACCATGAACACATTTATATAGAGTTCTAACTTCATGGAAACCAGGCTTGTGATTTTAAAATAATTTTTTTGGTACTCTTGTACAACTTGAAATAAAAATTCAAATACATATCAGTTGGTAAGATCAATCAAAAGAAAATTGTTGGCAATTTAAGTTTTAAGGAAGACAGATAAAATGATTTAACTTATCCATTACTGTCTCCAGTTCTAAACTGAAAAATTCTTGCCATGGCTTGTTCATTGTTGCCATGGCAAGTTAATTCCAGCTCTAGTACTTACTTATGAGTGGAAGCAAAAGTACATTGAGCCTGGAAACAAGATGGTCATGCCTAAGACCAGGATGGAAAGAACTAGTTGTCCACCCACTGTGTATAGCTAAAAATAGACTTGTAGCCCATGTGGGGGATGTGTGAGTTTTCCTTCAGGGTGGAGATAGTACTGGACTACGATTTGCACATTCAAAGCGTTTTTTCCTCACCTGTAAATTGCAATGACTTGAGCAGCTCAAAAGTAGTGATGTTTTATTACCCTTTAGTGAAATCCACAGGTTCCATATGTTTTATGTCTATCGAATTATCAGCCTTGTACTTTGAGAGGGCAGCATGGTAAAGTGAACAAAGCAATGTCCTGGGAATTCAGCAGTTAGTCACATGTTCAACCTGTATGTCTGGGTCAGACATGAAGAAACAGATTTTACCCTGTTTGTAAAATTGAGAGCATTTTATTCTAGATAGCATAACCATATACCTTTTCACCTAATTAATACATTTTTTTAGAATGAAAGGGCACTATTAATAATAACTCTGTAAAAAGAGACGTACAATAAGACTGTCCTAGTGAGGCCAGAATATATTTTCATCTTTATAAGGTTAATAAGGTTCATTCCTATTCTGACATCCTTTGCATTTTAATATAATCTTAATTTTCTCTCATCTGCAAAAACAAAAACAAATTAAAAAAAAGTGGTACCAACACTTTCTGTTTCCCCCCTAGAGTAGCACAGTTAATAGTAATCACATAGACCTCTGAAGATTTAAAGTTGTCCTCATGCAGTCTTATGATTTGCTTTGACTTTTCCATACCTTTTGCTAAACCTTCTACTTCACTAGACCTTTTGCTAAATCAGTGCTTTGAGGGTGCTCCTGCCCATCTCTGGAGATCCTATGTTACTGAAGAAGATCCACATTGGATTTCTGTCCCCAAGGAAGAAGGACCAAATGTTTTCATTACTATTAATATCCTGTTGCCCTGAATGAAAAATTGTTGCTGTTAATTTTCTTGTTCTCTAATCCAATCTTTATTCGATAGGAGCAAAATTACATTGAATCCCGAATAAGATGGTCGCATTCACACACAAGAGAGGGATGGAGAAGTAATTGACCATCCACTGCATATACGTAAAAAGAGATGTAAGACAGATGTTGTAGAAGAGGGAAGTTTTCATGTGTCTTCTGCAGCACCTTCCTCCTCAGCTGAAATCAGAATATACTTTGGCTGTTTGGTGATGTCCCGTTAGTGCTCTTTAGTGAAATTCCTAAGAGAGATCCTGTCACTTTCCCTTTTATTCTCCTAAATAGTGCAGTGATGTTACCTATCCCATAGGTCTCTGTACATTTTTTTTAAAAGGCCTATTGTGATATTATGAGAGGAACAGGATTTATCTTATTTACTAAACCTTTGCTAAACCTGGTACTTATAGGCTGCATCATACTGGGCTGTTATCTTACCTTACTGGATTGAGCCATAATGCAACTCTTCTTTCTGATCTGTTGAATAAATAGATTCCACATCTTAGTATTGGGATCAGAATTGGCTCCCTAGACACCCACATTGCATTTGCCCTTTTCCACTAGTACTTCCTGAGGTTTTTCTGTTGTTTCCTTTTAAGTTTTGAATACACAGGAAAGGATATGCCAGAGAGATGGCAAACATAATGAAAATAAGGAGGCACACTGGGAGAAATTTAGGCAGAAATAGGAGGATTTGGCTTAAACTCTGAGCTCTTAAAAAAATAATCCGAGCTTTTGAGTTTCAAATGTCATTATTGGGGAAAAAGATACACACACACATACACATACATATATATATATATATATATATGTATAATTAAGTGCAAACATCCAACCAAAGGCATATAGATTATCTGCTATAGTAGATACAGATCTACATTTCAAAGCAACGTTTGCTTGTTTTACCCTCAAATGAGCTTTTATTTTTTTAAAGTTTCTTTTATTTGGGAATAAACATACTGCTGGCACATTAGCACTTCCAAATTTAAAAGTGTGTTTCAGAGTAATTTATGAACTCTAACATGCTAGGGAAACATTTGTTTTAAAGGAAGAAAAAGTCCTTTATTTTGTTACATCCATTTTTAAGAGACTTATACAATATTTTATCTTAATAAATGTAATATTATTATTGCATTTTATAGATAAGGAATTTGAGGAACAGAGAGGTTACATCACTTGCCTAAGGTTAGAAAGCTGATCGGGGCAGAGCTATAATATACATAATTTTAATTCCAATTCTAAGGACAAATATAAGCAGATCCATATGCAGATTGTAGGCAGTTTCTAAATCAGAGTTATTCTTTGGATACTGAAAATTACAAATAGTTTTGGTTTAAAAGGACCCTAGGATTTTAGATAATCAACTTGGAAGTCATCATTGACCAAGATGTCATACGTGTAATATACATATGCTTATCCTTCAGAGAGTTGTGATAGATTCACATTTGGGGGGTTTAGCCATATTTCACAATGACAAGTAAGTCGAAAAGCAGGTTAATATAGACTTGTGGCATAACAAAAATCATTCTAAAGACTCTTCATCCCCAAGTAAGCGTTCCTTTTTTTTTTTTTTAAATAATGGAGGTTCGTGAAGTAAAACACAAGGTAATTCATTTAGAAAAATAAAAACTCTAGAAAACTTTATTTGGCTACTATATATAAGAAGCATACTAGCCATCATTCATTCCTGATTTGGAACACAAGAGGAATTTATTGAACCTTCTCAAACGTTGTAGTCATATTTACATAAATCAAACATACAGAGAAATGATCTCTACCCTCTGAATTTTAGCTTCATGTATTTTTCTCTCCCTGTCTTCCCTAGGAGACACACATAATCTATAAAGTATTTAAATGATCATCCTTCTTGATCCATATTCTTTGTCCTCAACCCTATTGTTTTTTTTTAATGCTGCTTAGTTGATTCTTTTTTGTTTTTAATAAATGTATTTATTTATTTATTTTTGGCTGCGTTGGGTCTTTGTTGCTGCACGCAGGCTTTTTCTAGTTGCAGAGAGTGGGAGCTGCTCTTCACTGCAGTGCACAGGCTTGTCATTGCGGTGGCTTCTCTTGTTGCGGAGCACGGGCTGTAGGTGCGCGGGCTTCAGTAGTTGTGGCACATGGGCTCAGTGGTTGTGGCTCACGGGCTCTAGAGTGCAGGCAGTAGTTGTGGTGCAAGGGCTTAGTTGCTCCGCAGCATATGGGATCTTCCCGGACCAGGGCTCAAACCCATGTCCCCTACATTGGCAGGCGGATTCTTAACCACTGCGCTACCAGGGAAGCCCTGCTTAGTTTATTCTTAAGCCAGTTTCCTTTTTTTTTTTTTTCCCCA